ATGAGAGTCAAACATCCAATGGAAAAAGATTGGTAGACCTCGGGGTCGGGGTCGGGGCGCAAGTCCATCTTCCCCTACCGGAAGATGCCCCAGCGTTTGCGGTAGGAGGTGAATCGGTTCAATTGACGGGATTGGGTTTACCTCGACCCCAGTGGTCGACAGGTCATTGCGGTGAATTAGAGGCCACGCGACCTGCGTCACTGGCGCCGTCGAGGCTGGCAGCTAGTGCTCACTGTGTGTCTTCGGGCCGGTGGGCGTCACCAACGGTTTCGATTGGCAAGGACCTACGAGCCATAACGGTGACTTAGATTGTGTATTGCGCTAGTCCCGTGTAGCCTAATGGCTGAGGTCGCATGCCGCGGCACGCTACGCGTGCTGTCGGCTCACACTAATATCAGCAGCAATCACGATGAGCGGGAAAGAGGTACATCTCGCAGTTGCATAACGTGTTATTATTAAGTTTCTCATGAATGAAAATGTAAATTCCGCTGAAATTTCGCGCTGTTTACTCCCAAAGTTCAGGGAAAAAACCCTTTCATGAGCTCGGGTGAAGCAGTGAGGTAATGAATTTAAGAAAGAACGGGAGCGTGTTGAAAACATTGCCTTCTCACGCAGTCCCCGCACCAGCATCACAGCGCAGAACACCGAGGCTGTTCGAGGACTCTTCGAAGGCGATCAGTACTTAACTGTTCTTGAAATCTCTCAGGAACTTCAGTTTGAACTGCCCATCGGTCAAAAAGGCGCGGCATTCCGATCAGAAGTATGTTGCTTCTCCATGATAACGCCAGACCGCAGCAGTAACACAACATAAATTGGCCGATATGCACTGGGCTGTCCTAGAACATCCACCCTACAGCCCAGACCTGTCACAATGTGACTTCCATATGTTTTGGTCACTCAAGGAAACCCTTGGTGGACAGCGCTTCACAATGAATGAGGAACTGAAGCAGTTTGTGTGCAATTGGTTTGATACTTGTCCGCGAACTTGTTACGATACTGGAATTAAAAAATTACCAGATCGTTGGAGAAAGTATATAGATAAGATGAGGGACTATGTAGAAAAATAAGAAAAATGTAAATTAGAAGTGATTTTGAAAAATATATAGTTTTTTACAAAAGGCTCGTTTATATTTGATCCACCCTCGTATAACAATTAACAACAAAGTTTAAACACTAATTTCTGTAATTTAGTAAACAACAATAAAAAGGCAATCTTTTCAAAATCGTCCTCTTAAAAATAGTTTTGTTATTTCAAGCTGAGTTATATGATAGCCCTGTTAGTGTTTGTAAAAGAGACGTTTCTTTAAATTGTAGGAAAATAAACACCCCGAATTCTAATTTCCTATTATAACTTTATTTACTTTGAACTACGGTTGTTACTAAACTATTAGGTGGTAAACTTAGTTCCTGTTTTTTGTTTAAAAAACTCATTTATTTCGACATCAAAAGCAAAAAATACATTAATCGAAGTATTTTCCCTCGCTAGCTATACATTTTTCCCATCTTTCGGGCAACGTGTAGATTCCTCGACGATAGAACGATTGGTCTTTTGATGCAATCCATTCGTCGATCCATTTTCGCACATCCTCGTAATTTCTGAAATGTGTATCCACCAAGCCGTGCTGCATCGACCGGAACAAGTAATAGTCCAAAGGAGCTGAGTCTGGTGAATACGCTGGGTGCGGGAGAACTTCCCACTCGAGCTGCATCAGTGTTTCTTTGACGGCTTTGGGAACGTGTAGTCGAGCGTTGTCGTGCAAAAGCATAACTTTACGTCGATTGCTGGCTACTGCTGGCCTTTTTTCCAACAATGCTTTATTCAGACGGTTTAATTGTGATTGATATCGATCCCCCGTGATACTTTCGTTCGGTCTTAATAGCTCATAATAAACGACGCCGTGCATATCCCACCAAATGCAAAGAATTGCTTTGTGTCTATGAATATTTCTCTTTGGTGTGGATGTCGATNGGTTGGCCAGGGTCTACCCATGATTTTCTTCGTTTAGGATTATCGAAGTATATCCATTTTTCATCGCCAGTCACTATGCGCCACAAAAAACTCTTCTTTTTCTGCCTGGCGAGCAGAGAAATAGAGATGTTTAAGCGATTCGCAATGGCATTTGCGGTTAATTCGTGTGGTACCCATTTTCCCTCCTTTTGAATTTTTCCCATTGCATGTAGACGTTTGGAAACAGCCATCGGAGTAACATTTAATGCTGCAGACAATTCTTGGAACGTTTGAGTAGATTTTTCGTCCAATAATGCCTGCAAATCGGTGTCTTCAAACTTTTTCGGTTGGCCTGAACGTTCTTTATCATTGACATCAAAATCATCAATCTTAAATCACTGAAACCATATTTGGCATGTTCTTTCCGATGGAGCATAATTGCCATAAGCTTCGAAAAGCAATTTATGAATTGCAGCTGCAGTTTTTTTCAAGTCAAAGTAATGAAGCAGCACATGTCGAAAAAACAACTTATCGCGTTCCATATTTAATCAAAAGAAAAAATAGCACTGCTCGCTTAAATGAATCTCTTTGCACTGAATTTTATTGACAAATGTCTAACCTCTAAAATGCAGCCAGTTTTAGATGTCAAAATAAATTACACTTACTACTAACGTCATCTAACTGTGAGCCGCAGGAACTAAGTTTACCACCTTATATTACCAATATATTAATCTTGGCATATAACAAACCTCAGCGATACTAGAAACCGGCAGTAGTGTATGGCAGCGCGTGGAGATGATAATTCCCGTGCCGCACACAAGTTCATGCATGTATTTGTGCGCACGAGATTGGATCGAGCATACATGTATACGGTTCGCAGTTATGTCCAGCACGGGCGCTGTCCTTTTCCACATGATATCTGGGCCGTTTCCTAACATCACTGGTAATGCTAGATCTGTACCGTAGTGATCGTTTTGCTTTCGAATGATTAGCAATCTAAAACAGTGACATGCTAGTGTTAATAACATTGCCTTTTCAACACTCGATTGCTAAATATTCTAGAGTGGGACAGTTAGCCGCAAACATATGAATTTTCAAAATCGGTTCTACTAGTTCACTAGTTTTAGCGCACAATAGAATTTGATACGATCACATGAAATAACTATCAAATAACTATCTGCCATTTTTTGGAAAGATTTTAGATTCAAATATTTAAATATCCGTGCGCGTATGTTTTTTTCTAATAATTTAATATTTTTATTTTAATAACATTTTTATTTTTCTTTTTAATAACATTTTTTACCAATAAACTTGTCGAAGCTATCCGATGACTTCGTCAAACTGAATATAATAATTATTTGAAAATATATATTGGGTTGGCAAATAAGTTCGTTCGGTTTTCTTGACTGGTATAAAATACAATTTATTTAATATACAAAATATATACTAATCAATAATGTATTGACCATTCTTTTCTATGACTTTATGCCATCTTTTTACCAATTTCATAATCCCACATTCATAAAACGTCTGAGGTTTACCGGCAAAAAACTGATACAGTTGCGTTTTAACAGCTTCATTATTAGCAAAGTTTTTCGCGTTCAGAGAATTTTGCAGCGACCGGAACAAATGATAATCAAAGGGTGCCGGTGAATAAGGAGGGTGAGGCAAAACATCCCAGCCAAGCCTTAACAATTTGTTCCGAGTAGTTAATGAAGTATGGGGTTGGCATTGTCGTGGTGGAAGACGACTCCTTTTCGATTTGCCAATTCTGGAAATTTCGAACGTATTGCTTGATTCAATTTCGTTAATTGGGAGCAATATACAGTTGAATCGATCGTCCTGCATGATGGTAAGAGCTCATAATAAATNACCACACTGAGAGCATAATTTTCTTCGGGTGCAATCCTGCCTTCGAGGTTGTTTGTGGTGGTTCACTGCTGCTTCCCCATGATCTTTTACGTACTACGTTATCGTAGACGATCCACTTTTCATCTCCCGTAACCAACCGCTTTAAAAATGGATCGTTTTCTTGGCGTTTCAGCAGCGTGTCGCAGATGGAAATGCAAGCGGTTAAGTTGGCCTCGGTCAATTCGTGCTGCACCCAAACATTGAGGCGAGAAACGTATCCCAGCTGACGCAAATGGTTTTCTACGCTTGTGTGGGATATATTAAGTGTCGTAGCAATCTCTCGTACTGTTTGCGATGGATTTTTGTCGACGGTATTCTTTATTACAGCTGAATCNCAGCGCGTCGCAGATGGAAATGCGAGCGGTTAAGTTGGCCTCGGTCAATTCGTGCGGCACCAAAACATTGAGGCGAGAAACGTATCCCAACTGACGCAAATGGTTTTCTACACTTGTGTGGGATATATTAAGTGTCGTAGCAATCTCTCGTACTGTTTGCGATGGATTTTTGTCGACGGTATTCTTTATTACAGCTGAATCAATCTCTGCTGGACGACCAAAACGGGACGCGTCACTAACATCAAAATCTCCAGAACGGAATTTAGCAAACCATTTTTGACACATACGTTCTGTTAACGCATCGTCCCCATACACATTACATATCTTTTTATAAGCTTCCGCAGCTCGTTTGCCTTTTTTGAAATAAAAAAGTAAAATATGGCGAAAATGAACGTTCTTTTCTTCCATATTTGCAACGGTGCAGTACGCACAATACTCTGGTATTAACCGGCGTACGTTTACAAATAGGTTAGGTGGAACGTCGCTTTTCAGCTGCGCAAGCGCGTTGTGCGATAGCGCAGTGGAAAAGAGATAGCAGAACGAGTAAACCTACTCCGATTAAAAAACCGAACGAACTTATTTGCCAACTCAATATTTGGGAATTAATGATATTTGAAAAATGTCCTTCCAACTTGAAAAATTATTTACAAAGATACATCAGTTTATTTTGGTCAAGTTTAAAAAAATAACAAACCAAACGTTCTAAAAATTTTGATGAATTTTTAGTACATAATAAAACGTGGCTCAAAAATTAATTTCATCTCCACTTTCCATTCTATCTTTACAACACGAAAAAGCGCAAAATAATGTTGCAAAACGTGGTTGTTAGAAACTCGCTTATAAAGTGAGTAGTGATCGTAAGAAAAGGAAAAAATTTTCGGACTTATTGGCTTCTCATTCGTCTAATATATTAACTGCAGTTACGTGTATAAGTTTACGTAAAGAAAGAAATAAAAAAATAGCAAACATAATATCGGAAAGTATATCTGATGAGTTGAGCTGATCTTTAAAAGTTCCTGCTATTCACCCATATACAAAAGACGATGCTCTTGCTCTGATTGTAAATGGTCGATTATCAATTGATGGGTATCAAATAATATATATCGGCGCCAAAGAGAGAGATGCTGATATTCATCCACATAAATAACCACAGATTATCAGAAAATTCTTTGTTATCCAGAAAACATAATTATAAGAGAAATCCGCAAAAGTTCGATTACAGTCTTAACTAGATCATATTGTTTTCCGACTTGCTATTGTTTCTCGATTTGTATTTGATTCAATAAATTCCTTATTACTGTAAAAGACTGAATTGCTTTTGAAATGGAATTTTGACGACATTTTAGATCAGTCACAATATAAACAAAAATTTTTCGAAAACGTTAAATCTTCTGATAATAATCTGTTTGCGACGTGGCTTGCACCCATACAGTTGCAGACTTTATCTGATGACGATCGATTACTCATTTTATGAAAAAACAATTAACCTCCTTCCAAACGATTGTTCAGACCGATACAATTGCAATTTATAAAAAAAACAAAAGCCGTAATATCAAATGAGAGAGAATATATTGAATCTTGCATTTCAACACTGACACCTGTTATTATGTCTGATCCTGTGAAGCTTACAGTAAAATACCGCTTCGTACTAACTATAGCTAATGGGAAAGTTTGGAGTGCTCTAACTGGGAAATTCATTTCTACATATTTGGAAATTCATTTCTACATATTGGGAAATTCATTTCACATATGTGAAGCTAATCTAAAAGATATGAGTAAATTAAACATCATTTTCAATCAACCATTACATGAAAAAACTTTAAAATTCAATATTTCTCTTCCCCATTCTTGGGTGAGATGTTTTGGCTGTCTTCTTCACGTTTCATATCGGTTTGAAATAAAACAATGGCAAGTCAAGATTGAACACGATAAATTTAAATTGAAAAGAAGAAAAAAGATTGTTAAAGCAGCTTTTAAAAATAAAATGGGTTTATCTATTGACATTTCAAAACAAATTAGCAGAACAACCAATGATGGCAATACAACTCGTGGATTTTTTGCCAATTCCAAAATGTTTAGCGAAATTATTGGATTAGATGTAACTCTCATCAATAGATTTGCTATAATTTTGAGAACTATATCTTCTCCGATTTCATTGTAGATGAGCAGAAATTTGGTAATTATTGTTATGAGACAGCTCAATTACACGTTCATATGTACAACTGATACTTCATGCTTGCTCCTGTATATAAATTATTTATACATATAATATATGCGTCAATTTTACCAATTAGTCTCCTTCCTGAGAAAGCTTAAGAAGCCAGGAACAAAGATTGTAGAAACATGAGAAAACATCATACCACCAGAAAAAACTCTAGAATTGCGACGAATGAAGACTTACTTAAAAGACTTCTTCTTTTCTCAGATCCTGTTATTTCGTCTTTAAGAAAAATTTCTAATAGAGTTGATTCTATCCCTGAAGAAGTTCTTGAATTGCTCGCAGATCCAACTGTCGCAAATGCAGTTTTATCAGAAAATAAATAATAATAAAAATAATTATACAAATAATTAATAAACAATACAAATAATAATATATCTTTATAAAATAAAAAATTAAAAAATTAAAAATTAGATAACAATAATATCTGTTCAGTGCAAAAGTTCGTGCCCTATTTGTAAATAAAAGTCAAGCAGTTGTTATTGTAAAAAAACTGCTTGTATTAATCAATAATTTATTGGTCACCGTCCTCAACAATCATTTTCCAACGTTCAATCAATTTATGGATACCACGTTTGAAAAAATTGCGTAGTTTTGCGTCAAAGAACGCGGTGATGTGGTTTTTGACAGACTCCGCAGAATCGAAATTCTAGCCATTTAAATCGTTTTGTAATGACTGAAACAAATAATAATCGGAGAATGTGATGTTCGGAGAATATGGTGGATGCAATAAGATTTCCCATTTCAGCTATTTCAATTTGTCCAGAATCATTTTCGAAGTGTATGGTCTAGCGTTGTCATGGTAGAAGATGACACCTTTACGATTAACCAAGCTGGACGTTTTTCTTTGATTGCTGCGTCCAATTTGGTTAGTTATTGACAGTACTTCTTTAAATCAATCATTTGGCCAACAGGAAGCAGCTCAAAATAGAACCTGACACAAGAGCGTGTCGAAAATATCTTTGAAACTTGATACCTAATGAAAGCGAGATAATTTAAATGTGTACGATCTTCTCGAATACGCGTTAGCTCAATTTCTTTCAGATGCGTTTGTGTTATTAAAGAGAACAGAGCTTCAGAGATGAGTACTGCGTATACAAAACAGTTTGAGCGAGTTTTCCTGTGTAGTCACTCAAAAAGGCCAAAAATGAGTTTTGCAAGTGCTGCTAAATACCTGCATAAGTCGTCACAGTTCATTAAGAAATGAATAAAACGATATAAAGAAACAAAAAGTGCCGATGACTTTCTAGATAGTGGCTAAAGCGAAAGACTACCAACAGGGAAGGTAAAGTGATTCTTCGATTTTTTTAGAAAATCCGAATCTTTCTTTACAAAAAGGACGAGCAGTTTTGGCAAAGAAAAGTACAAATATTAATATAATGACACTGAAACGTCATTTAGAAGAGAAAAATGTCAAATGGCGTAGTACAATATCCAAACCGTTACTTTCAAAAAAAACATATTGAAAATTGTTTTGCGTGGGCTCATCAAAATATCGACCGTGATTGGAGCAACATAGTGTTCAGTGATGAATCTTCCTTTTGGGCCTGGTGTCCTATTAGACATGCTTAGTTTAGCCGTGGACAACCAGTAATAGAAAGGAGTGTAAAACCCCTGATAAAAGTGCATGTTTGATGTTGTTTTAACATACGGAGTTTCGGGAGCTTGCGTCTTCACAGACAATATGAATACTCAACAAATTATATCAAAGGGGACTTCTCATATCAGTTAAACGTCACGTTAGTTTAATGAAACTCAAGACGAATGGATTTTGCAAGATAACGATCCGAAACATAGAAGTCGAATCTGTACCGAATGGAAAGCGAAAAACGGCATCATCGTATTGAATTCTCTTCCTAGTCCCCTGTTGCAAATCCGATAGAAAATGTGTGGTCCATAATGAAGCACAAACTTAAGGAAAAACGTATATTAAAATTAAAAACCTTAATAAAAAGTATTCGTCAAATATGGAGATAGCTACCTATGTCGCACGCCGAGAAATTGATAGAAAGTATGCCAAAAAAATGTGAAGCCATAATTGCTAACGGAGGAGATTACACTCACTATTAAAGTAAGAGCATATTAGCGTTTTCTATATATTTTCGATTTATCGAAATAAAGTTACAAATAAACTTATATTCATAGAGATATCGCCGACACACTCTTGTGTGACAGACTATATATAACACCTTGGCAATCCCACCAAACGGACAGCAAGACCTTCTTCGGATGCAAGCCGGCTTTAGCGACTGAATCTGCCGGTTCATTTGCTTCTTTCCAAGTACACCTGCATTTAACGGACTGCATTTATATAGGATCCATTTTTCGTTGCCATTCGCCAAACGGTCCAAAAAAACCCCCTTTTCAGGCGTCCGAGCAAAGAAACGGCTGCGGAGATGCGTTCCAAATTGTTTTTTATTTCGGACGAATGTGGTACCCAAGTGTCGAGCTTCAGAGTAAATCCCACCTTCCTTAAACACCGAAATGCAGTTGATCGATCAATGTTCAGGGCCTCAGCAACCTCTTCCGTCAAAATGCGTGCATTGTTTGATATTAATGCGCACAAAACGTCGTCGTCGATGTCGGAAGGACGCCCAGAACAAGATTCATCTTTGAGGCTAAAATCACCAAGACGAAATTTAGTATTTCACTTCTTTACCGTTCGAAGTGCAGGAGCACGGTCCAAGTAAACTTCCTGAATATTTTTTGTAGCAGCGCCAACGGTCATTCCTTTCCGAAACTCGTAAAGCATCACATGTCGAAAATGCAACTTCTCCTTGTCCATTTTCAACGATTTTTTTCACGGCTTAAATTCAACCAAACCAAATAATTCTGAAGCTCAAATGATACCTATGACTGTTATCTTTCCAACGATATATAATATGCATACATAAACAACAACAGAGTCGACACATGCTACTTCACCAGTTCCATCTATATGAATCGGGCACGAATTTTTGTACTGATCCAATATAAAAATAACAAATATGCATTTTTTACATGTTAACCTCCGCAGCTCAGTACAAAAAAACAATTTTATATTTGGGTTTAAAATTAATTTTCTTATTACTATTTTATCATTTTTTTGTTGTTTACAATTTTATAGTTAATATTTCACATTAATTTTATTTTTCGCCGTTAAATATTAATATTTTATTTAGTACAATAAAACGGTATCAATTTAGCACTTAACTATTATTTAATTAATAGTGAGTAAAAATGCATTGTTTATTTTTTATCCTCATACATATAAAATAAATGGTATAAACGATATACCAGGTGTATGCATACGTTTTTTCCGGTTTTTTGGTAAAAAAAAACACGTAATTTTTAAGTGAAATTAATTTTTTTTTATTCAAA